GAACGTAGCTGTCAAACAAAACCCAAACAGTCCTGACCCGCCACAATATGAAACAGGGAAGTCCATCCCTGCAGCATGGACTACACTGCCCATGAGTCTACATTCTTTAGGGCTATGCCTGTAGTGGCAATTTTTTGAACAATCATTTTAAACAATAGTTCTTCACGTCATTATGCGGGTTGAAATTAGAGGTTAATGCTGTCGGGCCTTCACTGAACCACCAGCAAAAGAAGATGAAACTACACGTCATGGTTGAAAAACAGAAATAAATTCCCTCTTGGCTGTTTGGCTTCCACCACGATTAAAATCGCACTTTCTGCACAGCTCCCTCTCTCTCTCAGTGAAACCAGTTTACCATCAAAAATCTCCGTTTTCTACATTATTCACTTGCTTATTACTCAGCAGTCAGCCGCTGCTTTTTTGTTTTTAAAAAATGACCTCTGACATGAAAGCCTAATTTCTACAGTTTAATACAGAAAAAATTAACATTTTTGTAAATGATGCCAAATTTCAAAACTCTTAGCTGTGTCTCTAATAAAACGTCTTTAAGTTTACTCTGTAACTTTTTTGCTTTCCTTCAGCAGCATCAGGTAATGTTCATGAGTTGATTCATGGTTTTCTTCAGTTTTTGATCTACTGCAAAATATTTTTAAGCTTATCCACTATAAAAAGCCAGGCCAGAAAAATCTCCTTCATGTTTTTTTGTGTTTTATCCTCAGTTACTTTGACACAAAGGCATCTGCTGTGATGCTTAAACCTCTGATGAAGTCTCACAAGCTTTGTTTTTATACACAAATATAAAAATATGGATATGTACTGATAAATTATCAATTATAATATTTCTGACTGAGTCCAAATTGAATCAAATCAAATCCAGACCTAGTGAATCAGAATTAAACCAGCTAGAGAAATCAGTGACGATACCCAGCCCTATGCTACACCGACCACGGCTCAACACAGTGACCTTAATTTGGAAAGTCATCTGCCTTTCACTTCAAGTTAGATTTGATCTAAAGCCAAAATCACACCTACATTTTTCAGGTATGCCCCTTTTCCCCATATGGCTGACACCAAGTAAAAGCTAATTCTCCAGTGAATGCTCATGACGGAGCCAGACATAGCTGATGGCACATTTGTGACCCAGCAGAAAAGCCTTTATATCTGTCCTATATCTTTGTGCTAAGTTTCATTCTTTTTGCCAAGTCTACATCACTGCAGGGAGTGGAGAGCCGTTTATAGATATCAGGGTGTCTAAATGGATTTTCTCAAACACTCTGCACTGTTGTGTTTTTTAAACCCACATCTTTTTGCTTCTCATCAGAAAATTTGTCAGTGTGGCAGGGAGGTGGAGGTTAAAAAGTTTGTTTTGCCCAGCAGAACGTTCAAGCTTAGGGCATTAGTCAAGCACATCATATTAAAATGAGCCCACAAAAGGTTATCTGTAATAAATTAGAGTCGGCAGTTTAAAAATTCAAGGCATACACAACAAGATGGGGCAGCATCTTACCTATTGCATCTCCTTGTTCATGAACCATGCTGGCCAGATCCTTCATGATTTGACTGACATCCAGCATGTCTCTCTATGGAGAAATCACAGTGAATGCTCATGTTAGTCCTCCGTACATATCAGTCCATGAGAGACAAAGTGCTATTTTACACATAGGACAAAGATTATAGCTTGAAAAGTACGGTTATTTTTATTTATTTATTAATAATATTATTGTCCATATTTACACTGTTTGGTCTTATTAGATGTTATCATCTTTATTACTTAAACTAAATGCAAAGTATTATCAATACTGAATAATGCACAAAGTCATCTTGCATATGTGAGCAGGCAGTCAGGCTTAATTACAGAAACAGAATATGTAAGGTAACAGAATAACATAACATTATTTCATTTCACTACATTTTTTTTATTTTTTATTTTTATCTAATAAAAAAAGACTCTAAAGTGCAAAGGTGGGATTTGCATATTCTTTATCACCCTGATCAATCCTGATCGATCAAAGAAGTAGTAGAAAGGATGGTTCATGGTTTCAGATGGACAGAGATCAACTGAAGCCAATTTTGACTGATATTATGTCAACAAAAAAATTGAGGGAAACTGTAGTGGATTTTTGTCATCCTTAAATGTTTTGCTCATAGTTGTGCAGCTATGAAGGATTTCTATAGAAAATGCAATTCTAATTTAATTTCCCTGTCCCTTTAATTGACAGTGGATTTGTGTCTAATCCTAAATGTTTTGTGCTTGGCTTGTCCAAAAGTTTAAAAAAAAATGCAGTTCAAAGTTTTTGTTCAATTATTCCACTGTCAAGGCACAGAGCGAACTGGTGCAGCTATGGCTGACCGCAGCTAATTCTCCACAGCCTCAGAGCTTTGAATCTGCTCTCAATGTTTCAGCTCAAAGCAATATGAAAGCTTATAAAACCTCTGTCTATCTCATGCTCGCAGGTCCCCCCCTTTTCCTCCATTATGGCACCGTGCAATCACAGCTGCGTTTGTGCAGCCTAACCCACTGGGCCATCCATCACAGGTGGCGGAGTTTGCTGTGGAAACTGGCAGCCATCCTGCCACTTGGCAAAAACCATTTGAATGGAGCAAAAATGGCCCCTGGCAAAGCTTGTGATGCTAAAGACTTTTTGCATTTATCTTGAGGCCACCCTGTCCATCACCCTGTAATGGAATCATAAATTTATTTTACCTGGCAAAGCATTGGGCAATCAGGGCTCATTTTATTATAATGACAGAACAGTGTGTAACCAATTTAGCAAACAACGTGTTGCGAATAGGCATAGACAGACAGGGACACACACACACGTACACACCCAGGTGGGTTGGGGTGACCGTGGGTGGGTGGGTGCAGTGGACCCCTGCCTGAGGGCTGAGTGGGTGGCCAGGCTTGGAGCCAACACTGTGCCCTTTTCCATATTTCATGTGCTTCAAATTCTACTCATGAGCAATCCAGAAGCCACTGGATACTGGCATCAGGCTAGGAACCAGCCAACATGGATGTTCATTGGGATGATTTTTTTGTTGCCTTTTTTCCATGACTTGCAACAACAAAAATGACATTCTGATAGCCAGCTTTGATACTCCCCCACATTAAAAGGAGCCAGCTGAGGTGGTTTTAGATGGTTAAAATGAACGATGAATGATGACTTAAGCATCCAAACGTCCACCTCATCCAGTTATAACAAAGCTCTTAATTTAAATGCACATCATCGTGCTTTCTTACTTTTCAGAGGTTATGGAGATATTTTATTCCACTAAGTGCACCTACGAGGACACTGCATCATATATAGGGGCTTTCTACAGAGCCCTCCATTTCTGACTGACCAAGACCTAAGACAACCATATAGACTACTGTATGTTTTCTCCTTTGTGTGGGCACCTTAAAGGGCATTTTATCCTGTTTGCTCTTCTATAACAACATCTTAGAGAGCCCTAGTGCATTAGCATTTGTGCCGGTTCAGCTGAATTTTCTTTCTATGACACATTTTCCATCTGTACACAATGTTATTCATCAAAGTCAAGGAAAACTGAAAGGACACCAGTTTTTGAGTAATTCACTCTAAATTTGCACCAGCTCCATGGGGCAGTGCTCTACAGCTCACCCTGACCTTACCTCCCACTGTGGTGCACATGCAAAAACCGAGCTTGCTGTATAGGGATCAATAAAATGTCAGTGAACTTTTGCTACATGCCACAATTCTTTATGATGATAGCCAAAGAATCAGAGTAATCCTCAGCTCCAGAGCTCACCTCTGCTGGTCCTCTGACACTGTCTGTCAATCCTGCTGCTCTTGTTATTGTGTATGACTGATAAAAAGAACATACTTGAATAAACGAAAGGCTCTGAGGGTCCGTATATTTTCATGCAACTAAAATGTCAGACCGCAATTCAGACATCAGTTTCATCTGACACTGGGGCCACTGCCAAGGCAGCAAAAACACAATTAAACTTGAGGCCAAGATAAAATAGTCACAACAACCCTGCCGGCAGCATCTGATTGACACCTCAGTCATTAGAACTGCATGCCTTGCATTTCTCCAGTCATAAAGATGTTTGTGATAGCAGCTGATATGAACACTTGTGAGAGAGATTGCAGCTCAATCCACAGCTTTGCAACTTGCAGATCATCTGATAGAGGATGGAAAAAGGGACTCTTCTTTTTCGATACTTTCATGCTTGTGTTACCAAGATATTGTTCTATTTATCCACACAGAAATCAGCATCAGAGTTGGTCTCTTGTGTGATTATTCTAGTCTGTTTCTGTTGTGTATTTAATTGCTCTTCACAGTTTGATTCTTTCAAGGTATTATCAAGATGAAGGTAATTTATAGTCCAATATATGACAGCAAGGTAGCTAGATAAGGTTTGATTCTCCCAGGATGACTGCAGTTTGCAGCGGCTAGCAGTGTACACACAAACATGTCTTTCCATCTTTCACTGCAGGGCAGTTATGAGAGGTTTCCTCTAGTGCCTGCAGAGGGAAGTATGGCACAGCAGAGTGCTCATGTCAGCCTTTTAAAGGCGAACCAGCATCAGTAATAAGAACCGATTAGGCATGCAAGTCAGCTATAAGGAGGGGGTGTGCCGATAGATGACACGACCCCTGAAGAGGCGTCTGGGAGATTTAAGGCGTTTTCACACCTTTTTTGCTCAGAGAAGTTACTTGGAACTCTGAAGTGCTCTCTCCCACTTAGTTTGCTTCTTTTGGCCAAATGTGAGTGTAGCAATCAGAGCGAGACCTCACTGAGAAAGGAGTCTCTCAGTACATTCCCGAGCTAAAGTGGCGCCTCCACTAGAATCTGAACGTGATCTGAATGCAATCGAACTACTGTGAGGACACGTTGCCATATGTTGCCTACTTATGTGACTGCATTCAAGTTATAACATGGTTCTTGAAAGGTCTCAGGTTGGCCCAACTATTAGGAATTATTTGTGACATTTTCTGTTAGTGTAAATTACAACACCTAAGACTGTGTTAAGGATCAGTACTCTTTGTGACAGATAAGTTCATTTGTAACGTTTTTGGACTGGTTAAGAGCAGTTCTTCTTCAAGGAAGAACAAAATTTGACTTTTAGTGGGAGAACTGACTGACCAATTTTACACCTCTGTCCAGTCTGTGAAAATAACCCTAAAGCCTTTGCTTGCATTATGCAAAATGCATTGTTCTGGATCCTGGATAAAATGTGATGCAAGGCTTTAAAATCCAACACTTTCAAATGCAGCGCTGTCAAAGTAGTGCTAAATATGAAGAGAACAAATGAACACCTATAACTTGAGTATAGAACTTGGTTGTATATTCAAATAAACCAGCTTGAATTTCACTGAGAAGCTACCTGCCCCCTAAATAATGTTTAATTCCAACCTCACAGCCAACCAGGCAAATGTGTTTTGAAGAAATGTTTACATTGCATATATTCCTTTTTTCTGTCAGGGTAACAAGGAAAAAGAGATCAACATTCTGTGACTTTAACGTTGTTGAATTTTTACTGAACATAATCTCACTACTATGAATGTTAATGATATAGCCATTATGGACTTTTTCTCAATTACTGTTTAACCAGAGGACCACTGGATGTTTCATACATTATTAACAGGCAAAACATTTTATCAACACCAACAATGTCAGTCTGACTGTACTGGGATTCTTGTTTCTTTCTGTTGTTGAAAAAGAAATGAATGGACAGAAAAGGAGCTGTTGCTTTTTCATTTCTATCATTTTCTTTTTTTAACTATGATGTCACCCCTCTGATTTTACCCTGTTACTAGTATCTGATGGTAGTATTTCATGAGTTTTTACCTAACACCAACCAAAAATTATGAATAAAGAAGTCTACTATTTCGTGCCATAAACTGCCGTTCCTCTCATGGCCAGCCCCCCCAAAAAGAGTCATTCTCCAAAGACTCCTGTGTTAAAATGCTCACTGTCCCATTACAATTTAACCCTTTAAGACCTACCATAGAACCAAGTCCGCCAGAGCTTATATTATATTTTTACATGTTGTAGAGCCGTTTTTGGGAGCATTTCAAGTTGCTATACATCAATACAACCGATATAGCCCACATTTTAATAATATATATGCATTAAGTGTATAGTAATTACATAAATTGCAAAAAAGTGCAATAAACTACAAAAAAATTGAAAATCGTTTTTGTTTTTTTAACATATATTTCTAGTTAGAGAAATTTAAGAGGCTTATCCCTCAAAACTGTAAATACAAAAAAGTTGCACAAAATAGTTTCCCACCACAGGAAATTTATTTTGAGTGTCTTCATAGTTTTATTTTTGAAATACACCAATTTTTATATACTGCAGGAAAAAAGAAAATAAATATTATAGTGCAAATTTGCAAAAAAGCAGCATATGCATCAAAATAAACTATTTCCAGTGCAATTTGAGTTCTAAGCATCCCAGAAACGACACAGAAAGTCACAAAGTCAAACATAACTTTTAAAAACACCAGTATAGGCTCATGAGGCCCTGATGGTAAAAAACTACATTTCCGCGAAAATGACATCACTTCCGGTTTCGGGCAGGTCATGGCGGACATGCGAAAGTTCGTGCT